ACTAAATTCTTTCATTCCTAAAACTTCACTTCTATCTATTAAGATTTCTAACAGAGAAATCTCAAAAATAAATAAAACTCCCCATCATCTCTTGTTTTGTGGATAAATATTAATGCTTAATATTAAGCATTTCAAAAGGAAAGTCTGTCAGTTTAGAATGAAAGACTCATTGCCCTGAAGTTTACATTTAAAACACAGCATATCTTGTCATGTCAGGAAGTTATACATTCTGTTGCCATCTGAGAAACCAAACCATTGCATTGAGTGGGTTCCAACACATAGGTACAATGTGTGAGGCAGAGCAGAACTGCACGGTGGGGTTCCCAAGGCTGTGCTCTTTATGGAAAAAGAGACCACCACATCTTTCTCTTGTCTGGCAGCTGGTGGACTCAAACCACCAACCTTCCTGCAGCTGACAATCACATAACCACTGTGCCACTAGGGTCCTTCTGCTGCCATCTAGTGACCCAAACAAACTTTTTCAATGTTCTGCTGCCCTCTAGTGACATAAGTGAAAATAACATTCAAGCATTGTTTGGCCGCCTTTGCATTTGAAATCCTGAAGCCAGGCTGCTCCTTGGAAGCAAAGTTTCGGGTTTGTTTTTTTATTTTTCGTTTATGAGTTTATTCCCCACTCCTCCGCTCCTACCCCTCCCCCTCTTGGGTCCCCATACATGTTTTAGTAGATATCCTTCTATTTTTACAATAATGGTTTTATAAAGTATTTGTCCGTATGAGACTGAGTTAATTCACTCAACATAATGCTCTCCAGTCTTGTCCAAGTTATGTAATATTTTTTTTAAATTGTTGCTCCTGAGTGCTATATAGGACTCCATCGTGTGAATGTACTAAAGTTTTTCAATCAATTCAATTGTGGTTGGACATTTGGGCTGTTTCCATATTCTTGCAATGGTGAATAATGCTTCTATGAACATTGGTGTACAGATCTCCATTTTTGTCTCAGTTCTAATTTCCTTGGGATGGAATATCATAGTAGTGAAATATCTGGGTCATGTGGAGTTTCTAAGGATTCTGAAGCTCTGTCTGACATACTTTGGGCATGTTGCAAGGAGGGACCAGTCCTTGGAGAGGGACATCATACTTGGCAGGTTAGAGGGACAGCGCAGACGAGATGGATTGACTCAGTGACTGGGATAATCAAGGTGGGTGTGTCAGAGACAATAAGGTTGGCACAGGACAGAGCCGGGTCCAAAGCTATCGTACATAGGGTTGCTTTGAGTCTCAAGCAACTCAACGGCATATAACCATAACAACAACAAATACCTAACAGTATTCTATATTCAGAAAATTTTTGTTGAAGGTGCCTCACACATAGACCTTTAAGGAATACTAGGAATATTACATCATATGTAACATATGAGCTCTGGTGGTCTAATGTTAATGAGTTGCCCTGACAACTCAAAGATAGATGGTTCAAACCCACCAGCTGCTCCATGAGGGAAAGATGGGCTATCTCTTCCTGTGTGACTTACAGCTTCTGAAAACCTGCTGGAGGGTCAGCTATGAGTTGTTTCTGACTTAACAGCACATAACAACAATAGTATAAACATAGACTTTATATAGTTATAATTTAAAGTATAAAGATATACTTATATTGTTGCCATAGACATCTATATATGTCACATAGATATATGTGTCACAGACATATGTGTCATATAGATAATCACTATTGTGATGCACTTTATTCAAATAAGCTTGTATACTCTTTGGAAATTGTTTTTATTCTTGCAATCAGTGTTGACAACCTGAAAAACAAAGTTGGAAATTCTATAATCTTTTACCCTAGTGGCTCCTAGCCACACCCTCTTTGTGTGAACCTAACACTTAGTTGTTTGGAGGCTTGTGTATGATCAGAAAGATATTTCCTAGCCGAATAAGGGCGTAAGAATAACTGTAGTATTGAATGAGCATTTTAAATAACCCAGTCCCTTGAATACAGTGAGAAAGTGGAAGACATTTCAAGCAAGGTAATAACTGGGGCACTGCAGGGACCTGAAGGGGGGCGATTGTCCTTTTTCTACTGGAAAGCTAAAAAGACTAATTTCCAAGGAATGCTTAACTAAGATTTGCAAAAACTGAAAAACAACACTATTACTCTTGTCTAGAAGGATTGATGTGTTTAGAAGATCATATTCACTAAATATGTTTTAAAAGCTTATTAAGCATCAGGGACAAGAGTGGGCAGTAAGGTCAAAAGTCCATATACAAGACTTGTGTGATGCCTCATCGAACGGTCGAAGTAGAGAGCATATTTTGATTGGGCATTTTCCTCAAAACAGGAACAGTCTTGTTCTGGGCCTGGTTTCTTGACCAAGCATAAGCCTGCATGGGGTGGGTGGTTTGCAGTGGCTTCGCAGAAGAAAGACTTGGTGAATTGCTTCTAACAAGACTATGGGTTAGGAACGCCCTAGGGATCACTTCTATCCCATAACACGTGCGATCTGTGAGCCAACAACAACAAGGATTAAGTTAGGGAGCTCTTGGGGCTCAGTGGTAAGGAGTTGTGCTGCCAGCCTGAAGGCACACAGCTCAAACCTACCAGCTGCTTCACGGGAGAAAGATGGCCGTCTCCTTCCCTGCAGAGATTCACGACCTCTGAAAACCCACCAGAGGGGCAGCTATGAGTCTGTTCTGACTCCACAGGACACAACAACACCTGGATGAAGTTGCATGTCCTTCCCTTACATGGAATGTATATTGGCCACATGTTTACAATGCTCCAGGCATTACTCACAAAGGATCCTGAGAGAATCAGCTTGTGCATTACCGCTAATAATGAGAGCGCCACACCACCTCCTCTCAAGGGATTTAATTAACACTTCCCATTCTCACTGACCAACCTGGTTTTATTTCACCCAAGTGGTAATCTATTAAATAACTTCAGCCTCACAGGACTCTGCCAGGTGACTTGACTTCCGGCTTCTCCAGACTCTCCTGGCCATTCTCATTCCTTCAGGTAATGAAGTTAGTGATGCTGTTTTCGAAGTTAATGTATTGCCTACTGGTGTGATAAATGCCTAGCTATCAACTACATTATTAGCATTTTCATGGTTTTATGCCTAAGAATACTAATGGTTCTTGACGGTCTAAGTGTTTAGAATTTTACAGTGACAGGTCAGTATGATCCCGAGGCATATTAAAGAAAAATTAGGACTTAAACAACAGTCAGATTTCATTATGGGTCCCTAAGTGATGCTCAGTACAAGGGAGAACCCCAGAAGAATTCCGAAGTTACCTGCACTCACTCATTGCTGTGGAGTCTGAATCAACACGCAGCTGACCCTCCAACAAGTTTTCAGAAGCTGTTAATCTCATGAGAGGCGATTACCCATCTCTCTCCTGTGGAGCAGCAAGCAGGTGGATTCAGACTGCTTGCCTTTGGGTTGACAGCACAGCTCTGTACATAGTAGGCCCCCTCAGCTCCCTGAAGCTACTTTAGACTTTCAAGTATTTCACCACACATTCCTCATTTATGCAAAGCCCTCATCGATCATTCTCTGACAATCATATTTTATAGAATAATGGGCTTATATTGTTGTTGTTGATTGCCGTCGAGTCATGCACGACTCATAGCGACCCTATGAGCAAAAGGCCCGAAGCCTTTCTATAATTATCATCGTTTCTCAGAGTTCATGGAGTTTCCAGAGGCATGTGGTTTAGGAAGTGGATGCCACTCCTGCTTCAAAAAAGCCTTATATTATGAAGGCTTAATGTTTGGTACAATGAAAATTCACTGTTGTCAAGTCGGAACTGACTCAGTGTTTCTGAGAATCGCATGGAAGGAGATTGTTCATCGTTTTCATTTGGAGCTGCTAGTGGATTAGAAGCAAATTCTTTTTTTTTTTTTTTATGAAGCAAATTCTTAACAGCACAGCTCCCTATGTCTACGCGGTGAGCAAGTGGATGAGGAAGAGAATTGTTACCTGAGTAGTTGTAAAACACCATTAGCTTCTCTGTGAGGAGTATAAGATCCCTGCTGACTGAGACCTTGAATCTACTCAGATAAAAACATAAAGTTTGCCATTCTTGGTTATATGCCATATTCTGTCACTTACAATCCCTGTCACTTACAATCACTTTTTATTACTTAAACACACACAGAAAGGAAATACATACAGGACACAGCTTTTGAAACAGTGTTTTTATTGGGCTTGGTGATCGATACCACTGCTTTTTCTTTAAGGGAGCCCTTCACTCCTCTGTGTGTCTTAGAAATCATTCATTCCAGCCCCAAATTAGAAAAACATCCAAGGCAGTGTTCTGTTTAGTAAGCATGCAAAGATAAAAGTTGTAAAATGAAAATAAATGGCCCTCTGTTAGGTAAAGGGAAATATTTCAATAAAACCAACTCTCTAGGAAAAAGAAACTCAAATGCTCAACTCTAACTCTGATCTTACTCTGCTTTCCTTCCTTTAATGGTCAGAACAAGAAACTGTTAGTAGTAAGTAAAATGTTAAAAGAGACGGACTTCTTTTTCACATTATTTCAAATCAAAGCGCACTGACAGCTCAATACCTGGTGTCCAGATTAATTTCATATCTTGCTAATGTATCATTTTTTATCTGATCTTCCTATCTGTCCACTCTTAAATACAGAATTATTTATATTTCTGTTAGGATGGTCAACTCCTAAATTAATAAAAAGATTTTAACTGAAACTCTGAAATGTCCAGTTTCAAAAATGGTACCCAGTAACCATTTTTCTATGTTTTTCTCCTCTACTCCTGATTGTTCTTTGAAACATTAGCAGAGAGACTACTGTTCTAGAGAAGATGGTTATCAAAAAGTATCAAATGTGAAATTCAGACTTTTGTGTGAGATCTTGTCAAAAGAACTGGTTTCTTGGTGAGTACATCTCTCGCGTTCATTGCTCAGAGTGGGAACTGGAAATCGACGCCGAGTCAGGAGCACCAACAGGAAGGGAGGACCGCATTTTGCAAAGGCAGCTTTCCTTTCCTGAAGAGGGCGGCTGGGGAGGCCTCACTTGAAGGAGGCTCTGACCACCCTGCCCTTGATAGGCTGTGGGGGACGCCAGTTTCCCACCAGGGGCACCGGGGGCTCGTTCTCAGCGCTGGCATAGATGCTCCGCAGCTTGGCCATCTGCAAAGGGGTGAATGCACAGTCAGCACAGTATTCTGACTGTCTGGACACACTGCAGGTGCCCCGGGGGTGCAGTGGTTAACACTTCGCTGTGGCTCAGGCACGTGTATGAACGAGCTGGCTGGTATGGCACATGAGCCGGGCGCCACGCGGGGGCGCCAAGGAGCAATGTCTAGTCTCGTCTGTTTGCACCGCAGCTGAGAGGGATCTCATGTAGCAATTGAAAACGAATTAGCATAAACCCTAAACCCTATTTTGCATAGTTAAGACTCTGAGTCTGCAGTTTAAACCCACTAGCCTCTCCTCTGGGAGAAAGACGGGTCCGTCTGCTTCCAGAAAGATGACTGCACTGGAAATCTTTTGGGATAGTTTTAGTGTCTTTTAGGGCCTTTATAAAGGGAGCTCTGGTGGCCTTGTGGTGAGAAACTGCGTTTGCAATCCCGTTGACACTCTATTGGAGAAGGGTGGGCAATCTCCTCCCTTGCTATTAACTGCCTCTGAAAACCCACTGGAGGGTCAGCTATGGGTGGGTTCCTACTCGATGGTACACAAGAACTCAGGGTCTTTAGAATTAAAAGTCTATAGTAAAGGGGATGGGTTTGCTTTACTTAGTGACGCAACACAGTGAAGAATTGGAAATCAACGTTTTTTCCAAACAAGACAGGCAGCTCCAAACCATTCGGTTTTAACTATTTAGCCACCAAACCCTGGGCATTAAAAACATTTTCTTTATTTAAAAAAAATCATTTTCTTCCTTTTATACAGCATCACCATGCCCTCTGGTCAAAACCCTCACCTTCACCACCTCCCCTTGCCCCAGGAATGTTGACTTTTTTTTTTTAAATGGAGTCCGGAAGAACATTTTGTACAGGATGAACTTTCCTTAGAAGAAGATAACAATATTTCAGCATCATAAACATAAGAAAAATTGGGTCACCATTGCACAGGTTTATAGAGTCAGTTTTTGAAAGAGAGAGCAATTAGTCATCCTCCCTTGTAAATTTTTAAAAAAGACTTTTAACATCAGAAGATGGAAATGTAAGAAATTCTCAGAAATAACAGTACCTGTTATTAAGATGTTGTCTTAGCTTTTCTCCTTTAAAAATGGCTGGAAGTAGTGGAAGAGACTTCTAAATATGAGGAGAAGGTTAAACCAGGCTGCTCCTTGGAGGCAAGGATTCTGGGGCTTCGTCTGACATACTTTGGACATGTAAGGAGGGACCAGTCCTCGGAGAGGGACATCATGCTGGAGAGGGTGGAGGGACGGCGCAGGAGAGGAAGGCCCTCTATGAGGTGGATTGATTCAGTGACTGGGATAATCGGGGGACGAGTGTATCGGAGTCAGTGCAACTGGCACAGGATAGAGCAGAGTTTAGGACTGTTGTACATTGGGTCGCTATGAGTCTCAAGCAACTTGATGGCACATAACAACAACATAAAATAATATAAACTATAACTTAATAGTTGCAGAGTGCAAGCCGCTGTATTCAGAGGGCCCGCCTGGCTTACCTGGTCGGAGCTGACGGTGATGGGCTCCTTCAGCAGCAGCCACACGATGCACTCCTCACAGGGCGGTGTGGTGAAGGAGCCGTGGTAGCTCCAGTAGTCCCGGCAGGCGGGGAACAGGCAAGACGGGTCAAAGTGTGTGAAGGGCGCCTCCTTGCCCTGAGAGAGAGGAATGCAGGCAGGGTGAGCATCATCCAATGGGCTCCTCACTGGGAGCTCAGATGAAGTGGAACATATTTTTTAAAACAGTCTCTCGACTTTTCAGCAGTAAGCGAGTTTGCACGTCATGACCATACTTGACTAAAGCCAAACTTAAACTCATTGCCATGGAATCAGAACCGACTCATAGCTGCCCTTCCAGCACATACTCAGTGGCAGTAAATTTCCCAGGAAGAGACTGTCCATCTCTCCTGAAGAGCATCTGGTGGGTTCGAACAGCATTCCTTTGGGTTGACAGCACAACTCCTTATCCCTGAGTCACCAGAGCTCCCTTATTCACTTGATGGAGTCATTGAAATATTTCTTTTCTATTAGTTTAACTGTAGAGCTAGAATTCTAATACTTTTCAACAAAACAGAAATTCAGACATAAAACATAGAATTATTTCATATGAATTAATCCTTTGGTTGTGATTTTTTTAAAGTCTTTCTTTTTCTATTAGTATAGTATTACAAATATTTACTTCCTAGTGGTGGCTTAGTGATGCATGTAGGACTGTGAACTTTGGACTCTGTCAGGGGCTGCGTGGGAGGAAAATGTGGTCCTCTGTTCTCCTTAAACTTTGCTGGCATCCTTGCACTGTTGCCCCAAAGGCAAGGATGGGCCATCTCTCAAACTCAGAAACTCAATGGAGGGTTAACTATGAGTCTGTTCAGACTGGATGACAATGAGAGAGTCAGCTCTAGTTAAATTTACAGCCTGGGAAAGAAACCTCATAGAGGGTGCACATGAATGGGTTTGAGTTTTGTGTCTGGGTTTTGGGGATGGGGTTTTGTTGGTTTATTTTGTGGGTTTTTTCTGGTTTAGTCATAGAATGTAACAGTGTTTGAGTAGAACAGTCACAAAAGATAATTTAGAAGGCCCATATTAACTAGAAGGCGCTCTAGTGGCCTTGAGGTAAGGAGCTGAGCTGTCTGCTCAAAGGCAGGCAGTTCAAATCCACCTGCTGTCCTTAGGAGAAAGGTAGGGGTAGCCTCCTTTCCAGTGATTTGCTGCCTCTGACAACCTGCTGGAGGGTCAGTTAGGAGTCAGTTCTGACTCGAAAGTACACAACAACATATCAATTAGAAGAAATTGTGGCTGAGACTGGAATTCCTGTGTGGTCAGTGAAGTGCTCGGCTGTTAACTGGTTGGATGTTCATGCCCACTCAGAGACAACGAAAAAAAAAAGGTCCGGCCATCTAATTCTGGAAAATCAACCATTGTAAATCCTATGGGCTACAGTTCTGTTGTAATGCATGAGGTTTTTAGGCGTCAGCGTCAAAGATTGTAGCTAGTTTTTCTGTTAAGACTGCAAAAATGCTCTGAGCCCTGATGAATCGATGGGACCTCTGTGCGCGTCCATGTGTGCAGTATATGTGTGTAAGTGTGTGCACGTGAGGGGGTGTGTACTCGGATGCAGGACTCAACTCTCTGTTCTGCACCACTGGGAATTATTACCTGGCAGGTTGCCTATACATATCCAGGAAGCTGGGGTGTATAAAACGGATTTAAAAACTGTAAACTGTAGACATATATTAGCAATTATTTTATATGTAAACTTAGCATGCCTATCAAACTTAATAACATATTTTGAGTGAAACAAATGCATGTGGAAATGTAAAACTCTCCTGATTTACCTTCTAAAGGGGGCGATTTGTTGTTGTTATTGTTGTTATCTTTTTATTTTTTACCTTTGTCTTAATTTTGTCCAATGCATCAAGAAGCAGCTGGAACTCGCCTTTCTCACGTCCTATCTGCAATAAAGAAAACAGAAAACCAAGAAGCATAATATTCTCTTCTCCATAATTTAGGGTTGTCTTAAAAACTGATTTTGGTCCATCTATCTATAATTGGTGTTTATCAATCTACCAGAATATCATATTCTATGGATGGAACAAAACCTCTAAATTCATTTTCCATCCAAGATTTTAGGGTAAGTATTTACTGAGCTAAACTTGGACTACAAATCTCTGAAGCACAAAGCCACAAATTACAAGTTGAGCTAGTTTTCTGCCCTTGACCTTCTTTACAAAGGTCTTCTACCATCCCCCCTAGAATTAAAACTAGAACAGACTCTACATATTCAAAGCTAAACTCTTTGTCTTTCCTCTCCAACCCACTCCACTTCCCGTTGTGCACTGTTCAAACACTGAAAAAGGGCCCAGTGAAGACAGAACATGAAAGGAATTAGGTCATTCAAAAGAAAGTAGCCAGATTTTCACAGCTGACTTAAAATCTAGATTATGTTACTACAAAACTCATGTGTTAATGACATTAAGTCCTCCTTAAACCGAGGCTGGCTCAGCAACACACGCATTCCATGGGCTATCTTCGCCCGGAATCATGTGGGTGGTGGCCACCCTAAGCCACAGGGGTGTCAAGCCAGGACTTGGGTATCACAGTGGCTCCCAGCATTGGATTTTCTGGTTTCCAGGGAGTTGAAATGGGCTCCTCATAGAGGATCAGAACACATGCTTTTCTTGCACTCACAGCCACTACACACATTAAGTTTTCGCAAAGGCTCTGTCCTCATCCACTACCACCCCCCTACACACACACATACACACACACACTCATTTTCTCTAACTTCTAACTTAATGCCGGGAATTTGAGTTATCAAGATGATTTATTCAGATCTTGAGCCCTCTGGGCCTAATAGGTATGATTTGCTACAGCACGAAGACAGCTTCCTTTCACCACAAAGACTTCAGACAAAACCGAGAATGGTGGCAAGTAGTGAATAATTGTGTTACCTGGAAGAAACAGCTTCTATTTTACCAGCAATAATTCACTTTCTTTCCTATCTTTTTTAATTGTGACTTGTGCATCCCACATCTTGAGAGGATTTAGAGCTATGGATTCTGGCCTATGGGGAGTAGGGGAAAAGATCTGTTTTTAAGGAGAGTAAATTATTTTGAGCACCCAATGGATAGTATAAATAGTGAAGCCAAAAGGGTGTTGATTCAAATCTACCTAGAAGCACCTAGGAAGAAAGGCTTGGCAATCTGAGTCTGAAAGACCAGAGCCTCAAAATTACTACAGGAAGTTCTGCTTCTACTCTGCACATGAGTCATCATGAGCCGTACTTGACAAGACAAGAGGGTAACTAGCAACAAAACATTTGGATCGGCTCACTGTACATATCTGGATTAGTTGAAAGAATACTGACATGTATACAGAGGGTGGGAAAGAGATTCTTCCTCTTAAGCAAAAGAAGAAAATGAAGCTTATGCCATCCTAGACATTGGTAGGGAACTTTCTTTTGAAGAAGAAAGTATGGTCAGTTTTCACCTTACCTTCAGAAAAATGCCAACCACAGCTATTCCATCAGGCTGCTTCAGAGCTTCCCCAAAGGTGTTATACTTTGGATTCCAATGAACCAAATGCAGCTGAAACCAGAGAATGAATAGTTGAGGAAGATTCTGGGAACAAGGGGATGAGTTTAAAATTATCCACAATAAGCCCAATGTGTATGCAGTCTAAAGCTGCAGAAAATAGCATGAAGTAGATAAAATTCTTATATTAACAGGTAGCATTTTAGTGAACTTTCTATTTAACTCAAAAGTACATAAAATTACATAAAGATATTTATAACACAATAATTATAACCATATGCTTTTGTTGCATATGCCTTTGTTGCAATATAAATGCTTATTTGAGTTTTGTATATATTATTGTAATTTTGTATATTTTGTTTTGTATAATTAGAGAGCTCTGGTGGCCTAGTGGCAAGAAGTTGCGCTGCAATCCCGAAGGCACGTGGTTTGAATCCACCAGCTGCTCGGCAGGAGAAGGATGAGTAATCTCCTCCTGTGGGATTAACTGCCTCTGAAAACCCACTGGAGGGTCCGCTATGGATCCGTTCCAACTCAATGGTACACGACAACAGCAACATATTATTCTTTTCTTAAGTCAAATAGGGAAATGCACGGCTACGATAATAGGAAGCTGCTGACATTTTGAAGTCACAACAGAAATTTCAGGGAAGAATAATGGAGGTAATTCTTGGGCAGTGTCACACCTACCTCCTTTTATGAGACAGTCTTTAGAACCTGGTGACATCTTTATATTAAGTTAAAACATGGGCAGTAGACAAATTTCTCACGTAAAGTAATATGAAGCAGCAAGAGAGCACTATACATCACAACAGTTCCATATAATTTATTAAAGATGAAAACATTTTCGTTAATCCCACAAGATAAAACTGCATGCACTTCCCTTTCCTACAAGAAGTACACTAAACCTTCCTCATTCCTGAGGCAGGATGACCAGAAGGCATTTTTGAACAATGACTATCTTGCTCTCACTCTTTACCATGGCTGTAAAGAAATAGATCACAGTGAAGCACTTGGGGTTTCTAAAGTTTACGTAAGAGGGTCCTGGTGGCCTAGTTCATACAGTTGCATTGCTAACCCAAATGCCACATCTGTCTGGTGTTTCAAATTGACCTGTTCTTTGGACAAAGATGAGCAGTCTCTTCCCATGCATTTTACTGCCTCAGAAACCCGCTGGCAGGTCAGCTCTGAGTCAGTTCCAACTCGTATCAAGGCCGAGTGAGAGTTTACTTAAACCAACAATGGAGCCGTGTGGTGGTTCCGCTGGAGGAGCCCTGAATATATACGGGTTAAACTCCTGATTGCTCACTGAAAGGTCAAAGGTTAGAACCCAGCAGATTCTCCATCTGGCAAAGCTGTGACAGTCTGCTTCTGTAAAGATGTCCAGCCTTTGAAACCCAGCAGGGCACTCCGTGTGGTGCCAGGTTCCTGTGGCAAAATGCTGTGGATGTGAGAGCTGACCCTTGGGAAACCATGATGTTGTTATGTAAGGTCAAGTTGGAACCGACTCATGGCCAACCCTCTAGTGAGTTTTCAGAGGTAATAAATCACAAAGGAGATTGCCTGTCTTTCTCCTTCAGAGCAACTGGTGGGTGGATTTGAACCACATGCCTTTGAGCTGACAGTGTAACTACTTACCACTGAGCCACCAAAGCTCTTTTTAATATTCCCCTGAATGCTTTACTTTTGGAAAGACAGTCTTCAGGAGACTTGTGTGAACTTCGCTTGCAAGTTGATGCCTTGATCTGAGCTACATACAAATGATGCTTTTCTTTAACAGGTAGAGTAACATAGGTTCCCACAGGATTCTGTAGCCAGTCTATACAAGATAGAATATCAAGTCTAGCATTTGTCAGTCCTGTGACTTTGTTGGGGCAGGGGGCTGGAAGAGCAACTGGGAATCAGTTCCGGGCTGATGGCAATGACTGACTGTCATTTTATCCTGTGACTTTTCTATGCTTCAATGTCATTATCTGGAACCTATCTCACAGGGCTGCTGAGAGGATTAAATGAGTTAACACGGATTTAGGAAGTGTTAGCTTACCTTATTTTTGCAGTTCCATTCAGGACTCTGCCCTTTTATATTAAGCTGCTCTCTCATGTCTTATTATAATCTTGAACGTCTTCATGCATAAGGCTAACTTACTCCAACTCACAAATGGTCTCGCCTAGGATGTCTGGCGGCTCCAGTTTAAGCTAAAATGGAATGAGTTGACCTGTTGCCGTATTCTGACTCATGGTGATTCCGTGTGTCAGACTAGAGCTGTGTCACAGGGTTTTCCATAGCGAGATCTTTCTTCCAGGGCACCTCGGGGAAGCTTGAATTTCCAACTTGTAGTTAGCAGCCAAGCACTTTAATCATCACAGCACTCATGCTAAAACTACTGTGGTCCTTTCTACCACCATAGGCCTCAGGAGAAAGCTTGGACTGCTGCTTTACTACTGTAGCTGCTAGTTTTCAATGTATGTGGTTGGGAGACGTCCCACCTACCTCTGCTGCATACTTGACTCCATCCACAGTGTGCTCAGAGCCATGGTCATCGGAGGAGCCCCAGTGAAGATGAAACTGGCGAAGCCGGTAGGGCCCACTGAGAGGACCACCTCTCAGCACTGTAAATCAGAGAAGCCAGGTCAACAGTGAACACTTGCATTTTCCTACAAAACCCTCCCTTAAACAAATGCTCTTACAGCTAATATTTGATGCTTAAATGCAATCAGTCTGCAGGATTGATGGGCCATTCCCAAGCACCTTGGTCCCCTTCTTAAAAAAAAAAAAATGGAGGCTTAGGATCTATAAGTATATGATTATTTCTTTTCTGACTTTATCGTTATATTCATGAATACAAAATTTAAATCATATCAGCCCAATAAAAATGCATGCAACCAAAGGGCAGCTTAACCTGGTGATGCAGCGGAGAGAAAGGTGACCACTGAGAGATGCACATATTAGGTTCCAGTCCTGGCTCGACTTCTTGCCAGTGGTGGGACCTCGGAGAAGTTGCTAAACTTCCCTGAATCTGTTTCACATCTCTAAAAGGGAGGTAATTGCCAAGCTGTCTGAGGGACTGTGAGGATTAAATGAGATTAAATACCTCAAAGTTCTCACTAGAGTTTACAGACCAGCAATCACTAAACAAGTACAAATTACTTCTCTGTGTCTTTCTTCCCATTACCCTTTTCTTTTAGACTACACATAAGAAATTTCATCCAAGTTCACTTCACCCTACATCTACCCAAATAACACGAAATGGAAATTTTCAAAATCTCCCAGGGACTCAGTTATGGGGACAACTTAACTAGATAATTCTTGGTAGCAGCAGTTTGGGCTGGTTGTAGAAAACCTCAGTCCCTCACTTCATTTCATTTCAATTCGTTCAGCCTGTGGAATGATTAAGAAGTCCAGATATTTTCCCAAGAACATGAGAGAACTAGGCAGAAATTCCAAAATTGGTATTTATTCTTAACAATTTAGTAAACATGTATGTAAACTAGATCCAAATAGAGTTCAGAGTTCAAGCTCACAGTAGAGTTTGTTAAAAATGTCTAGCACATTGCAGCAATGAATGAATGGAAATTCAAAATCTCTGTAAATGCTCATTAAAATTATTTAAAAAAATTTTTTTAAAGTCTGGCACAATATTGAGTTTAAATGGGACAGTGGAATTATAATATAGGTCTAAAACCACAGTCCTTGGTCTGATGGTGAAGTTGACTACATGGGAATGAGGAGTTTTATTAACTGATTGCATTTTTTTTCCAATCCGACCACTCGACCCAGTTACTAGCTGCACATATGAGTGTAATGTCTTAGGATAAACCAATATTAACCTTTTGGGCTATACAAATGGCATTTTGATGCCCGCATAGATTTTGTTAATTTTGTTGCTCTTTTTCCTTCAAATGGAGCTTCATACAAATGGACCAGGATGAGAGGAATAGACAGCAACAAGAACTTACTGTTTAGGAAAATGTGACTTTGTATCACAGTCCTTTTTTGGAACGTCCACCCACTTGGGAATTATGAGTCTTACTACTCTTTACTGTAACATTTTTAAGAATCTTCACTCATATATATCATAATGATAATGATAATAATAGCTTGATTACAGACAGGTAATTTTATAGATTAGGTTTTATTTGTTGATGAGTATAAAAAAATTGTACTGCTGTCTATAGCAAGCACCAGGATAATAGGGAAAGATTCTTATCTATTGTGAAATAAAGTATTTATATTTGTTTTTATTCTTTGATAATTTTTCTCAGTTTCTCGGATAAACTAGTTTTGGGGTTTTGTACGTAATGTTCCGGTTTCACAGTCAAGAAGAAATCTTCAGATATTTCAGTTATACTAACTACCAGTATTAATAAGATGAACCCTGCTACATTTGAAAAAAAAATCATAGATGAAACATGGAAGTAAAGTTATCTTGACTCATTCAGTGGCCCCCTTTTCTCTTCTGGATTGGCACCCAGGTTAGGAGGAAGAAGTACCTGCCTGTTTTTTCTGTTGTATTTCTTGCTTTGTAAAATGGATTTTTCCAGACCATGGAAACAAACAGAGAAGCCTCAGCAACAGGCCACCAGAGCCAAAAAAATACTCACAGCAATTCATTGTCGTCACTGCCCCACCCCTGATCTCTTTCAGGAATGCATTGTTAACTTTCTGAACCGGCATGGGGCCATTTTGAGGCAGCAAATTGCCCAAGGTTGGAGGGTGTGACATTCTTCTCAGTACATAAATATAATTCACAACTAAAGCAAAGTCAAATGTCATCTCCATTTCAGAGATGAATTCCTTCCATTCCTGTGTCATAGATCGCATGTTGGCAGTCTGGACATCAGATGCATCCGTGTCACTTATTTACCTTGTTGTCATACTTACTTGATCTATCGTAAGTATCATCAAACACGACCCTGCAGGTTTTCCCGTTGTTCAGAATGGTCTTGGCAGAGCCGGGGTCATAAGATGCTGACCACGGCTGCAGAGAAGGGTCATGCTTGATGTCTTTGGTGTGTATCTCAATGGGCGACTGGTTGTCTCCCTTGGCAATTGGATAAAGCTCATGCCAGTGATCGGGACCTAGGAAATAAAGGTGAGCACTAGTTATTTGACAACACTACTTAATGGTCCCTTTTCATAGATTAAACCAGCAAAATACATGAAGACTAGACAGTGATTACAAAAAAAAATGCCTTTTGTTTCAGGTTGCATGATCAAGGCTTTGTTTTTCAGACTGGTTTTTTTGCTTTTCATGTTAGTGTTAGTAGTCTGCCTGGGAGCATTATTTTAACACAGTGTAGTCCCTCAGTCGAGCTCAAGAAAAGTCTCAAAGATGCTTTTCAAAATGCACTTCATCCCTCTCCTCCCCTGCCACCAGCATGTTGCTGGAACGGAATGACGCTGGTCACATAGGTTTCGGCATCACTCTGTAGCTTTCAGAGTGAACTGATTCTGCCTGTCTCTTAAGTAGGCAAGAGTCTTAGGTAAAGCAGAAATTCTAATACCAGCTCCAGTCCTGGGGGGTAAATGCCTTGTTCGGTCCTCACAGGGAGCTGAGAGACCACCAGCATTGAAAGTTCAGCCCGGCAACGTGGAACCTTCCTAGGCTTGAGTTTCCTTCACTGGAAACAACAACCGGTAGGTAGAGTAAGTGGTGAAAAGGCTGCAGCGTCTGGAATTTTAGAGTGCATTTTAGCGCCCCTCCACTCGCAGGCTGGCTACTAACTCCCACAACTGCAGGATGCCAAGGGACTCCTGTGGCCCCCATCTGTCCAGGGTCATGGCTGCCCACACTCACCGTTGTGGCTAGCGTAGCCCCACTCCTTGGCCATGGCTGTCCTTATGGATAGATGCTGCACCGGACCTTTTGCTGCCCCGTCAGCCAGGCGTCGTGCAAAGTCCAGCGAGCCTGCAGCTTTTATACAGGGCCCCCTGCAAACTGCATGGCCTTATTAGGTCAGCGAGGGTGGGGCGGGGGGCTCAACTGGTCTGGAGTGGTATTTGGGAGGCGGAGTGGGGAAAGCCAATGAATTCCAAAAGCTGGACAGCTGTCGGGGTGAGGGGTGAGGGGTGGGGGTGGAGGTAGGCAGAGGGCCCTCAGTGTTCCTGGGAACCTGGCTCTCACCCCTTCCAGCTCTCCCTTCCAACATCCAAAGCTGCAGACTGCTACAGCTGCCTTCCCGCGCCCACAAGCCCAAATGCAGGCTGCATTGTTGTTGGTTTTTTTCCCCCGGGGGATGTGATTTTAGCCATGAACTAAAATCTGCACCTCGGCACTTGCAGCTCCACTCAGAAGTTGCTTTGCACGCAGGCTGGCGCCCTGGCTTTTAAAGGGTTTATTTAACTCCCGCGATCCCATGACGGTGGCTGGAAAGAATATGTTTGCGTGGCCCGTGTCTGATTGTCCTTGCAGGCAACTTGTAAAATCCAGAGAGGTGAGGGTGAGAAGAAAAGGGTGAGGAGGCAGGTCCTCTAACTCCGTTATTCCAAAGAAAATGACACTGTCCTACCAAGGGCCTTTGGTCTCCCAAGGGCAAGGGCTGGATCGCAGGGAAACCTGAAAAGGAACGGACCCAGGTTTATGGGGCGACCAAGAGCATGGGGCTGGCTTTCTATACTCCTTGAACGGATTATCCCTCTCTTCCTGCAAAGACGAGGGTATTCTGCACTCTTGGAAGAGCAACCATAAACATAAGTGAGTCATGTTTAAAATGTGTGTTCTCACTGTGCGTGGCTTAAAGGAAGGGAGAAATGAATCCAGTATTTTCTCTCTCTCTCTTTTTTTAAATTCCCAATTTGTTTTCTAACACTATGGACCCTTAAAGGAAAATAGTTACACCCAATGTCAACTTGGCAAAGGATTTTTTCTGAATGTCTGGTTTGGGTTCATATGAAAAACATTAAGATAGCAGATGTTTACAATTACAAGAATATATGATAAGAATGCCTCTTTGTATTAACTCATAATTTCATTGTTTTAAATGCAATGCTGTACAGATCTCTGTAAAAAATCCTAGCGGTCTTGGCAGCCAATCAATTTCATTTTTCTCCCCCCTGGACTTTAGTTTTCTTTCTAATCGAGATGTGGAAAAGTTCTGCTTCAGTTGAAGTTCCTGATGAAGAAACACAAATGAGTTGTGGTGGGTTTTTTTGGTGATAAGATCTATATATTTGTATTTCAAACAATGTAGATAAAACTTGATGTAAATTCCTCCTTTCCCCACTTTTTGGGGCACTGTATGTTCCACATGTTAAGAATAAACACACATTCAGTCTTGATTAAAAGAGTCATTTCCTTATTAAACTTGGACAGAGCTGCAGTTCACATTCCCCATCATTGTTTTGACTTGTATTGATGATAGTATTTTGTATTGGGGGATTACAAAACTTGAAAAGGAAATCTCTGATCATGGCAAAGATAGCTCATCACTCAGGCATGTGGAACCAGGACGCCAGGGCTGTCACTCCCCAGGGTATTTTTGTGACCAGGGATTATTTGATCCACACAATAGCAGTGTGCAATCAGGAACCGACACAGTTTGGAAAATACCAATGAAAGCAGCACAACAAATACCTTTAAACGCTAAGGTCAACGATGTCACTCACCATTTGACCCATAGATATATAGCTCTGTTTTATAATTTGCCACAAAGTATAGTGCCCCCTTCTGTTATTGCTTAATGTTGTAGAATTTTGTTAAGTGTTTTTACTAATAGCAGGAGTAAACCACAATCTTGTCCTACTCCATTCAATCATTAACAGTCTCCCTTTTTTCCTCTTATGTGTGGAGCAAAAACAGGAAATAAAATGCTATGTTTATTTTATATAGGAGTTGTTGTTTTTGCTGTGTACCGTCAAGTAAGAACTGACTCATAGGGGACCCTCCAGCAGGTTTTCAGAGGCAGTAAATCACACTGGAGGTGTGCTACAGAGCACCTGGTGGATTTGAACCTCATGACTTTAGGATTGCAGCACAGCTTCTTACCACTAGACCATCAGAGTTCCCTTACATAGGAGTAATATACATAAAAGGCTCTCTGGTGGTCTAGTGGGTAGGGAGTTCCTCTGTCAACCCAAAGACAGTCAGTTTGAACCCACTACCTGCTCAGGGAGAGAAAGATAGGCGATCTCATCTTGTACCATTTATAGCCTCAGCTTGAAGTTGATTCCAATTAACAATAATGACTTTTTGAGGGTACAGATAAAGTCTTTAACAAAATCTTTATAACAAGCATGGTCAGTAATTGAGGAATTCATCAAATTATTGGTATGTGTTCACAAACACAAAATAAAATCATTTCCCAATTCATAGCCATTCCTATAGACAGAGTAAAACAGCTCTCTTGGACTTCCTTTAGGGAAGCTGATTGTCACCTCTTTCTTCATCAGACTGCTAAACTTTGGGTTCCTTGCAAAGCACTAACTAAACCACTGTGCACCAAGAATCTTTCAACTCAGGTACGTTGGTGTCAGGAGCCATCTAGTCATCATTAATTAAATTATTTGCACCGTGGTGTATAATTGCAAATGAAAACTGAGTAAAATTTGCGATGGGAAGAATTTACTCCCTTCTATGCCATGTTCCTTCGAAAAACGGCAATTGTTTCTTATTATACTTTCTTATAAAAACAGGTTGGAAATTAAAGATATTTTATATCAAATTATGTCATTTTTGACTAGAGCACATTTTTTTAAAAAAACATCAAATTAATCATTGCATCATGAGGTAGTTTGCTCAATAAATTTCAAAATTATCTGTCAACAGAGCAAATAGCTCATGCCAAATAGTACTCCAACCCTTGAAATTTTTGGAGCAACTTTTAAAAAAGACTTAGGTATATACTGAGTGGCATCCATTTCCTAAATAACATACCTCCAGAAACTCTATGAACTTTGATAAATGTCGATAGTTGTAGAGGGGCTTCAGGCCTTTTGTTCATAGGGTCCCTATGAGTCATGCTCAACTCAATGGCAATCAACAACAAGAACAACAGCAGGTATACAGAGAAGAAATTAATGCCAGCTCAAGGGTTAGGCATGACTGGCTATTGATTGTTTCCTGGCTTATTTACAGCACCTTTGCTGTCACCATTACTGAAAAGCTGATGCACTGAACAATTTGTAAGATTTCTTTTCTCAAAAAATTGACCATGTATATATGCACAGACAAAAATCTAAAGATGAAGGAGGAAATTTGAGGTAAATAAATGTATGGTAGAGAGGATACATTTGATGTGGAAAATGTCCAGCTAGGTTATATATCAAAATTATAAGATTGGAAAATTTTAGGTAATAAAATGTAAAATAATTTTACTTATTTGACACTTTATTTTTAATGTACCAACAACTCATCCAACAAATTCACACTTTATATAAGTTGATATAGCATTTGATTTTTCTAGTATAATACAAGACAGTGAGAAAATACCTATTTATTCATATCTCTGAGCTCAAAACATAAATTACAATTAAAAGTAATTGCATGATTGTCTTCAATCACTGCCATCAAGTAGTTCTAACTTGTATCAAACCCTCATTGAGTTTCCAGGACTATAAATTGCATGGAGATGTCCCTTAGTCATAGTAGTGTGTAGATTTCAACCATCAGAGACCCTTGCTCTCTGAGGTAGCAGCGGGACACTTCGCAGACTACACCACCAGAGCTCCCTAGGATTTCTTCGCTATTTAAAGTATGTATAGAAGTATGTAGTATTTTCTAGTACATTTTTATTTCATAGAACAAGGTCTGAAATAGAAAAGTAAAAATTAGTGACTAATACAAATTGAAGATATAACTTAATTTCTTAAATAACATATGAAAAACAACTTTAACTTTCTTCCATGGCCATTTTTTCATCCAAATGCTTTTACCAGGAAGCCCAATTAACCGTATCCTATAGGAACATCATAGGCCCAGTTCCTGAATTTGTCACCACTGACTGCTGAGGCACTGGGATTTTTTTATTTTATTTTATTTTGATTTATTTACAAACTGTGAATATATTGTTTTTCACAAAAGACCCTTCCCATTGCCTTCATCCCACCCACTCATCGAATTATGCAACCCTGCGATTAACATTCCATCTTCACCCCTCTTTATTCACACACACACACACACACACACACACACACACCCGTGGAACCTCATATTCATTCTACAGTTATGCAGTTTTGTGCTTCCTCAAAAAGCTGAACATAGAAATTCCATATGACCTAGCTATTCCATTGCTTGGAATATACCCCAAGAAAATGAAAACTGAGACTCAAACGGAAACTTGTACACCAATGTTCATAACAACATTATTCACCATCACAAAAACATGGAAACAGCCCAGATGTCCAACCACCAGTAGATGGATTAAGAAGTTGTGGTACAATCACACAATGAAATACTACACAACACGCAGGATCAAGGATTTTGTAAATTACTACCTAACTTGAGAGGGACTGGAGAGCATTATGCTGAGTGTACTAACTCAATCCCACAGGGACAAATACTGTATAAAGCCATTATTGCAGAGGCTTTTGGATTTTGGAAGATGGCTTCTGGTTATGGCACATTTGAAGGGCACAACCTGAAACCTTGTTGCAGATGGTGTCACTAACTAAAATGTAATCTCCCAAGATAGTTCAGGTGGGGGTAAGAAGATGAGTCCAAGGCTAAGGGTTCCCTTACCTCCAATCTATGCAGTGAAATATAATATTCCAGATTCATTAATGCAAATAATTTTCCTACAAACTCTTCTTTTCAACATATTCTGTAGTATCTTCAATAGAAAGACAAACTGATCATCCAAACTCTCTGAGTATATCCTAGGATCAAATTTAGTGTTT